CCGTGCCTGGCCAGAATACACATTCTTCGTAGGTGCACATGAGCATTCCCCACAATATACCACATTCTGGGCTACAAAACAAACCTGAACAAATTTTAAAGAATAGAAATCACATAAAGTATGTTATCAGGCCATAATAAATTTAAACTAGAAATCAGTAACAGAAATATACCTGGACAATCCACAAATATTTGGAAATTAACAATACTTCTAAGTAATTCATGGGTGACAGAAAAAGACCCAAGGAAAATTAGAAAAGATTTTTGAACTAAAAGAAAATGAAAATACAATATAACAAAAGTTGTTAGATGCAGATAAAGCTATGCTTAGAGGAACATTCATAGCATTAAAATGCTTATTTTAAAAAAGAAGAAAGTTCCCAAATTAGTAATTTACATTTCCACCTTAAGAGACTAGAAGATGAACAAATTAATAGATAATCTGAATGACCCTAACTACTAAATAAATTCAATCCATAGTTTTAAAACTTCCAACAAATACAACTCTAGATCCAGATGGTTTCAGTATTGAATTCCACTAAATGTTTAGAAAAAAGTAACACCAATTTTACACAATCTCCTCCAAAAAATAGAAAATAAGAAAATAGGCTGGACGTGGTGCTCACGCCAGTAATCCCAGCACTTTGGGAGGCCGAGGTAGGCGGATCATGAGGTCAGGAGTTTGATGTCATCCTAGCCAATATGGTGAAACCACATCTCTACTAAAATATACACAAATTAGCTGGGCATGGTGGCACATGCCTGTAGTCCCAGCTACTCAGGAGGCTGAGGCAGGAGAATTGCTGGAACCTGGGAGGTGGAGATTGCAGTGAGCTAAGATTGCACCACTGCACTCCCATCTGGGTGGCAGAGCAAGACTCTGTCTAAAAAAAAAAAAAAAGAAAGAAAAAGAAAATACTCCCAAAACAATCTTTTGAGTTCAGCATTATCTTGGCACAAAAACCAAAGATAGTACAAGAAAAAAGAGAAAGGCCAGGCGCGGTGGCTCAAGCCTGTAATCCCAGCACCTTGGGAGGCTGAGATGGGAGGATCATGAGGTTAGGAGATCGAGACCATCCTGGCTAACACAGTGAAACCCCGTCTCTACTAAAACATACAAAAAACTAGCTGGGCGAAGTGGCAGGTGCCTGTAGTCCCAGCTACTCGGGAGGCTGAGGTAGGAGAATGGCGTGAACCCGGGAGGTGGAGCTTGCAGTGAGCTGAGATCCGGCCACTGCACTCCAGCCTGGGCGACAGAGTGAGACTACGTCTCAAAAAAAAAAGAGAGAAAGAATAAATGAATGACAGAAAAAACTACGGACCAAGTATCTCCCATGAAAAAAATCCTCAACCAAATGACACAAAAGTCCTCAACAAAATATTAGCAAATCAAATCCAGCAATATGTTAAAAAGATAAAACATCACAACCAAATAGGGTGTATCCTGGGAATGCAAGGCTGGCTCCACAGTCAAAAATGTAATTTATTATATTAAGAGCATACAAAAGAAAAACCACACAATTATCTCAATAGGTATAGTAAAAACATTTGTGATAATCTCCATTTGTGGTAAATACTTGCAACAAACTAGAAATAGAAGGAAATTTTCTTCACCTGATAAAGGACATCTAACATCAACAACAACAAAACCCTACCATCTAACATCATAGTTAATGGTGAAAGACTGAAAGCTTTTCCTCTAAGATTGGGAATAAAGCAAAGATGTCCATTCTCATCACCCATACTCAGCATTGTACTAGGAGTCCTAGCCAGTGTGATAAAGCAAGAAAAAGAAATACAAATTTGGAAGAAAAAGAAACACTATAAACCGCCTCTATTTACAGATGATATGATGGCTTATGTAGAAAATCCCAGTGAATCTGTTAAAAAGCTCCAAGAACTAATAAGTGAAACCTCACTTATTGCAGGATATAAGGTCAATGAAGGTCAATATACAAAAATTGATATTATTCATATATAGCAGTAATAAACAACTAAAATTTTTAAAAATTATGTATGTACCATTTACAATTGCACAAAAATACTTAGGTATAAAACTAACAAAATATTTGCAAGATTTGTGTGCTGAAAAATACAAAAGATTGATGAAAGAAATTAAAGACCTAAATAAATGAAGAGATACACTGTGTTCATGAACCAGAAACTCAATATTGTGAAGATGTCAATTCTCATTTTACTTTCTATAGATGCAACATAATCCCAATAAAAATACCACCAGAATACTTTTAAAGAAATAAATATTCTATATAAATTATAAAATTTATATGGAAAAGCAGGCCAGGTGCGGTGACTCATGCCTGTAATCCCAGCACTTTGGGAGGCCAAGTCGGGCAGATCACGAGATCAGGAGTTTGAGACCAGCCTGGCCAACATAGTGAAACCCCATCTTCACTAAAAACACAAAAATTAGCCAGATATGGTGGCACGCACCTGTAGTCCCAGCTACTTGGGAGGCTGAAGTGAGAGAATCACTTGAACCCGGGAGGTGGAGATTGCAGTGAGCCAAGACCATGCCATTGCTCTCCAGCCTGGGTGACAGAGTGAGATTCTGTCTCAAAAAAAAAAAAAAAAAAAATGTATATGGAAAAGCAAAGAAAATAAAATAACCAAAACAATTTTGAGAAAGAGTTATAGGCCAGGTACAACAGCTCACACCTGTAATCCCAGCACTTGGGCTGAGGCAGGAGAATCATTTGAGCTCAGGAGTTTGAGACCAGCCAGGCAACATGGAGAGACCCCATTTCTACCAAAAAAAAAAAAAAAGGCTGGGTGAGGTGACTTGTGCCTGTGGTTCCAGCTACTCAGGAGGCAGAAGTGAGAGGATTGCTTCAGCCCAAAAGATCAAGGCTGCAGTGAGCTGTGATTGCACCACTGCACTCCAGCCTGGATGACAGTGAGACTCTGTCTCAAAAACAAAACAAAACAAAACAATAGTAATAAAATTGAAGAACTTATCCTACCTGATTTAATACTTAATATAAAACTACATTAGGCTGGGCGCCGTGGCTCACACCTGTAATCCCAGCACTTTGGGAGGCTGAGGTGGGTGGATCACCTGAGGTCAGGAGTTCAAGACCAGCCTGGCCAACATGGTGAAACTCTGTCTCTACTAAAAATACTAAAAATTAGCTGGGCATGGTGGTGGGCGCCTGTAATCCTAATTACTCAGGAGGCTGAGGCAGGAGAATCCCTCGAACCAGGGGGCAGAGGTTGCAGTGAGCCGAGATGGCGCCACTTCACTCCAGCCTGGGTAACAGAGTGAGATTCTATCTCAAATAAATAAATAAATAAAACTACACTATTAGAGACAGTATGGTATTGATGAAAGAATTGACATATAGCTCAATGGACCAGAAGATAGCCCATAATTAGAGGCACATGAATATTGTCAATTGATTTTTTATTTTTATTTTTATTTTTTTGAGACAGGGTCTTGCTGTGTCACCCAGGCTGGAGTGCAGTGGCGCAATCTTGGCTCACTGCAACCTCCACCTCCCTGGTTCAAGTGATTCTCATGCCTCAGCCTCCCAAGTAGCTGGGATAACAGGTGCAAACAACCATTCCCAGCTAATTTTTGTATTTTTAGGAGAGATGGGGTTTTGCCATGTTGGCCAGACTGGTCTCAAACTCCTGACCTCAAGTGATCCTCCCACCTTGGCCTCCAAAAGTGCTGGGATTACAGGTGTGAGCCACCATGCCCAACCATCAATTGATTTTTGATAAAGGTGCAAAGACACTTCAGTGGAGAAATGATAATCTCTGCAACAAATGGTGCTGGAAAAATTAGACTTCTATATGCAACAAACTGAACCTAGTCCCATTCCTCATGCTTTCTAAAAAGTTAAGTAAAAGTGAAATATAAATATAAAACACAAAAGTTAAAACTTCTGGAAGAAAACATGGAAAGAAATACCTGTGACCCTAAATATGATCCATAAGAAACAAAACACTGGATTTCATCAAATTAAAAACGTTTGAACTCTTAAGAGAATGAAAAGACAATCCACAAAATGGGAGATATACATGAAAATCGTATATCTGATAAAAGACTTGTATACAGAATATATTAAGAACTCTCAAACTCACCAATAAGAAAACAACTCAACTGAAATGGGTAAAAGACTTGGATACTTGATTAAAGAAGATATGTGAATGGCAAAGAAAGACATGAAACGATGCCCATCATCATTAGTTGCAACTGAATTAGGGAAATGCAAATTAAAGCCACAATGAGAGGCTACCACACGCTTGTTAGAACAGCTATATAGATGTGTGTGTGTGTGTGTGTGTGTGTGTGTGTGTGTGTAAAACTTTTTTTTTTTGAGACAGTGTCTCACTGTATCTCCCAGGCTGGAGTACAGTGGCACGATCTCGGCTCATTGCAACCTCTGCCTCCCAGGTTCAAGTGATTCTCCCGCCTCAGCCTCCTGAGTAACTGGGATTACAGGCCCCCGCCACCACGCCCAGCTAATTTTTGTATTTTTAGTAGAGACGGGCTTTCACCATGTTGGCCAGGATGGTCTCGAACTCCTGACCCTAGATGATCCACCCGCCTCAGCCTCCCAAAGTGCTGAAATTACAGGCGTGAGCCACTGTGCCCAGCCGTGACTTTTTTTTTTTTTTTTGAGACAAAGTTTCCCTCTTGTTGCCCAGGCTGGAGTGCAATGGCGCGATCTCGGATCGCTGCAACTTCTTCCTCGCAAATTCAAGCGGATTCTCTTGACTCAGCCTCCTAAACAGCTGGGATTACAGGCACCCGCCACCACGCCCAGCTAATTTTTTGTATTTTTAGTAGAGATGGGGTTTCACCATGTTGGCCAGGCTAGTCTCGAACTCCTGACTCCCAGGTGATCTGCCCACCTGGGCCTCCCAAAGTGCTGGGATTACAGAAGTGAGCCACTGTGCCCGTCCTGAATATGTTTTAAGAAGAAGCAAATAGACTACTGGGGGCATGTACTTATGGGATCGAAAGTCACCTACTTTTGTGACTGATCTTCAATTTTCAATAGTGTCAGGATAACTTCATCAGTGTAGTACTGGGACAGCAAATACAGGATCTTCTTAATGGTCTTTTGGGCTGTGGTTTCTGTAATGCTGTTCATGTGGTAGTAAATGTACTGGATGATTTCTGGCACCTGAAATGAGGGAAAAGGAGGTTATTTCCAGATACTCGACAGCAGCTCACCAGCATCCACATAACTAGGCACCCACTTCACCTGTAGGGCTGCACATAATGCATACACAGCATGTCCAGACCAAAAAAGTCACCGTCCCACCGCACTCTGCTCTAGTCAGGCCACACCCTCAGGACTGTGGACTGTCTTGGACCCTATGGGGCCTGAAGCAACCCCATGTTGGATGCTAATCCACCATATTGACTTTTTTTTTTTTTTTTTTTTTGAGACGGAGTCTTGCTCTGTCGCCCATGCAGCTGGAGGGCAGTGGCGAGATCTCAGCTCACTGCAACCTCCACCTCCCAGGTTTTATCATGCCTCAACCTCCCAAGTAGCTGGGATTACAAGTGCACACCACCACTCCCAGCTGATTTTTTGTATTTTTATTAGAGACAGGGTTTTACCATGTTGCCCAGGCTGGTCTCGAACTCCTGGGCTCAAGCAGTCCACCTGCCTCGGCCTCCCAAAGTGCTAGGGTCACGGGCATAAGCCACAGCGCCTGGCCCAGCATATTGACTTCTTTTTTGTTGTTGTTGTTTTATTTTTCCCTTTTCTCTTCGTTTTGGCCACCATATTGACTTCTGATTAACCTTTGTTCCCAGAATACCCTAAGATTTCTACTTTATCTTTTTTTTTTTTTTTTTTTTGAGACAGAGTCTCACTCTATCACCAGGCTGGAGTGTAGTAGTGCCATCTCAGCTCACTGCAGCCTCCACCTCCTGAGTTCAAGCAATTCTCCTCCTTCAACCTCCCGAGTAGCTGGGACTATAGGCGCTCACCACCACGCCCAGCTAATTTTTGTATTTGTAGTAGAGATGGGGTTTCACTATGTTGGCCAGGATGGTCTCCATCACTTGACCTCCTGATCCGCCCACCTGGGCCTCCCAAAGCGCTGGGATTACAGGCATGAGCCCCCACACCGGCCTTACTTTATCTATTGTTATCGTAAATCCTGTCCTTAGGTCAAAACAACCCTTATCATAAATCCTGCCCTTAGGGCAGATTTGCATAGCATTCTTGCTTTTTCCTGAGGGGTTGATTTTAATTGTCCTACACATTCCTTCTCTAAGGTATATTTGCTTGTTTGTTTCTTAGAGACAAGGTAGTGGCATGTTCATAGCTCACTGCAGCCTTGAAGTCCTGGGCTCCAGTGCTTCTCCCACCTCAGCCTCCCAGTAGCTGGGACTAGAGGCATACCCACCATGTCTGACTCCTATTGTATAGAAGCCCTGGGACATGGCAGTTGATGGCTGGGGGGTCGACCCTCTCCTCTTGCAGACTCCTGGGACATGGCTTCCATTATGTTTTGCTTTGTTTTGCTCTAGATGGAGTCTCGCTTGGTTGCCCAGGCTGGAGTGCAGTGACGCAATCTCAGCTCACTGTAACCTTCATTCCCTAGGTTCAAGCAATTCTCCTGCCTCAGCCTCCCAAGTAGCTGGGACTACAGGCACACGCCACCATGCCCGGCTAATTTTTGTATCTTTAGTAGAGATGGGGTTTTGTCATGTTGGTCAGGCTGGTCTCAAACTCCTGACCTCAGCTGATCCACCTCCCTCAGTCTCCCAAAGTGCTGGGATAACAGGTGTGAGTAACCACGCCCGCTCTTTTTTTTTTTTTTTTTTTTGAGTCAGTCTCCTTCTGCCTCCCAGGCTGGAGTACAGTGGTGTGATCTGGGCTCACAGAAATCTCCACCTCCCTGGTTCAAGTGATTCTTCTGCCTCCGCCTCCAGAGTAGCTGGGATTACTGCTGCACATCACCACGCTCAGATAATTTTTTTTTTTTTTTTTGGTATTTTTAGTAAAGACAGGGTTTCACCGTGTTGGCCAGGCTGGTCTTGAGTTCCTGGCCTCAAGTGATCCACTCACCTCGGCCCCACAAAGTGCTGGAATTACAGGCGTAAGCCACTGCGCCCATTATGGCTTGTTTTTAAGTCAGTATTAAATGTTTCTTTCTCAGAAACTGGATTCATCAACCTCTTTCTTTGACCTCTCAGCTTCCTTGGATTTTAAGGGTAGCTTTATACACACCTGCCCACCACGGAACAACCCCGACATTTTAAGAGGGACAAAATAGAGAGCAGCCAGGGGAGACCAGAACCATGTCTGGAAACCATGCATGAAGAATGAAGGAAGAATCTGAGGATGAGTAACTTAGAGACAGGAAGGCAGAGGGCATAGGATTGCTGCCTCCAAGTGGCCTCAAGACTATCAGGGAGGGAGGGAAGAGTCAGTCCTTGCTGTTTACTGGCCATGTGGGGTGGAGGCAGTAGGTGGTGGTCCGCATGAACTCTAAAGTCACACTCTCTGGATGTGAATTTCACCTCCTCACTTACTAACTGTGTGACCTTGGGAAAGCTTTTCATCCTCTCTGCGCTCCATTTCCTCACACAAAATATGAGGACGATTTTACCCACGTCAACAGTTCTGAGTTAATGCATCTGAATTGGTTGGAACAGTGTCTGTCACCTAATAACTGGTGACGAAACTTCAGTAATTAAGGCTCATAGCCTCTTTGAGCCTTTTCTCATTTTGTTTTTCTTTTGAGACAGGGTCTAGCTCTGTTGTCCCAGCTGGGGTGCAGTCACACAATTATAGCTCCTTGCAGCCTCCATCCCCTGGGTTCAAGAGATCCTCTCAACCCAACCTCCCTAGTGGGACTCAAGTGGGCACCACCATGCACAACTAACGCTTTTGATTTTTAGTAGAAATGAGGTCTCACTATATTGCCCAGGCAATATATTGGTCTTGAACTCCTAAACTCAAGAGGTCCTCCTTCCTGGGCCTCCTAAAGTGCTGGGATTACAGGTGTGAGTCACTGCACCTGGCCTTCTCATTTATAAAGAGCACAACCATTATGGAAAATTCCAACATGATGGAGGTTACTCAAAAAACTAAAAGTAAAACTACCAATACCACTTATGGGTATACAGTCAAAGGAAATGAAACCAGTGTCTGGAAGAGATAACTGCACTCCCCTGTTCACTGCAGAATCTTTTGTAATAGCCATGATAGGGAAAGAACCTAAGCTTCCAACGACAGATAAATGGATAAAGAAAATGTGGCATATACACAATGGAATGCTATTCACCCTTAAAAATGAAGGAAACCCTGTCATTTGTAACAATATACGTGAACCTGGAGGACATTATGAAAAACAAAACAAGCCAGGTATAGCAAAACAAATATTGGGTGATCTCAGATATGGAATCTAAAAATGTCAAACTCATGGAAGCAGAGAGTAGAACAGTGGTTACCAGGGGCTGGAGGTGAGGAGGACTGGGGAGATACTGGTCAAAGGATACAAAATTTCATTTAAACAGGAGAAATAAGTTCAGATCTATTGTACAACACGATGACTATTCTATACTTGAAATTTGCTAAGCCAGTAGGTTTTCAACTTTCTCACTACCAACAAAAAAGTATGTGAGTTAATTGACATGTTAACTAGCTTGGTTTAACTATTCCACAATGCATACATATTTCAAAATATCATGTTGTATGCCATAAATATATATCCTTTTTGTAAATTAAAATTTTTTAAAATAAAGTAGTTTACAAATACAAATGAGCTATGGTTTAAGGTAGTGAGCACCTCAAGATTGCTTTCAGCACCATCTGGCTGACCAGTAGTCTGGGGTGCTCTCAAAGAGATTACAAGCATTGTGCTTGCTTCACAGATACTAAAATTGGAATAATACAGAGAAGATTAGCATGGCCCCTGCGCAAGGATGACATGTAAATTTGTGAAGCATTACATACAAAATAGATTTAAAACCTTCAAAAGAGATTACAAGCATCAAGTGGGGAGTTAGAGTAGTTGATCTTTGGGGTCCCCTTCAACTTATCAGTGGTCTGTTCTGAGGCATTCAATCAAAAGGCAATCCAGGCCAGAGAAGTGGAAAGTGTAAGATCCCGGAACTGCTCATAGAACCTATTGTGGAGAGGTCATAAGTGAGTTAGAGAAGTGGGTTAGGCCCTTAAAATAAGAGGGCCTCCATCAGTCCATAAGATCTTTTAAAATACTATAATAAAAAGGACGCTAAACTGTGCTATCTTAATTTTTTTATTAATGTTTTTAAGAGATGGGGTCTTGCCATGTTGCCCAGGCTGGTTTCAAACTCCTAGGCTCAAGTGATCCTCCCACCTCAGCCTCCCAAAGTGCTAGGATTACAGCTGTAAGCCACTGCGCCCAGCCTTATGCTGTCTTAATTTTACTGAGAACCAATCCTAGCTCTCATAAAGGAGTCTCTGTACTTCATCTCTATGTTAGTGTGTCATAAGTTTGTGTATGTGTGTGTGTATATATATGTATATATTTATATACACACACACGCCCCTGAATTATCCCTCCTGAAGAAAGAAGAAGGCACCTATAGATCTAACATATCAAATACTGTCTGGAAGCAGGAAGAAAGACTGAGGTCTCTCCTGGTCCTAGCAGCCCCCAGTAGTCTGCTATAGCTTTGACTCAATTCTTTCCATCCTGTTGGAGATAGAGGCCAGATGGTCAACACTTCCCAAAGAAGAGTCTTTTCCACAATCACAAACTATTCCTCATTTAGCCTTTTATCTCATGGGTTGAAGCATGTGATTCTTTAAACTCAAACTGGTAGGAGATACAACAAGACCCAAAACAGAACAGAAAGAAAGAATCCTTAAATTGACCTTGAACCATTAGGTCCCCCAGAGCTGCTACCTTCCCGATCTCTGGAATCGTGTACTTCAGGATCATCTTTAACATCTTGGAAGCTGCAGAGATGTCATGCCTGCTGGTGTTGGTCATGGCCTCCATGCTCACTATGATCATATCTGCTCTCTCCTCAGGGGTCAGGTATTTCTTGAAGAACTGAAGAAAGAAGAACAGCTGTCTCCACGATGCCAGCATCCCAACTTGGGTCTGCCCCAAAGCCTCTGGCCTCCAAAGAGACCAATCAACCAGGGGCCAGTGGAGGCAGTCCCTGACCAGCATCTGGCTATTCTATGGTGTGAAACAAGCTTCAGAGTGCCACCAGCTCTGAAATCTCCAGGAAGGAGCAATGGTCCAGACAGCTTGACACAGAGGACAATGCAAAAGGCATTTCTACTTCTATTTGGAATGCAAGCAAATGAGTCCATTGGAAATGAGTTCTGATGTTTAGTGAGCTTGCAGCATTCCAAAGCAAGTAGGACTGCTATTATGTACAGCAGACATGTCTCATATCTCTGAGCCTGCACCTGCATATCCACATGAAGCTCATTCACTCAAACAATATTGAGGCTCAGCTCTGTGCCTGGTCCTATTGCTGGGAGCTCAGGAAAACTGCAACTAAGACATACAATGCCTTTACCCTCAAGGAATTTACCATCAAGCCAGGGCAAGTAAACAGGCAGTTACAGTGCAATGTGAGTGATACAGTTTGGTTGTATTCCCACCCAAATCTCATCTTGAACTATAGTTCCCATAATCCCCATGTGTCAGGGTGGTTACCCTCATGCTGTTCTCGTGATAGTGAGTGAGATCTCACAAGATCTGATGGTTTTATAAGGGGCTTTTTCTCCTTTGCTCAGCACTTCTCCTTCTTACTGCCATGTGAAGAAGGATGTGTTTGTTTCCCCTACCGCCATGATTCAGACCCAAGGAAAAAGAAGGACAGAGTTCCAGGGAGAGGGAACAGAATATGCAAAGGCCTGGAGTGGAAGGAAGTTCAGCCTAACTACTGTGTCCTGCAAGGGAGACCTGGGCCAAGTGGAAAAGGGAGACTGAGACAAGATGAGGCAGGACGGTTACAGCAGCGACCAGATCATGAAGGGTCTTGTGGGTCAAGTGAACAAGTTTGGACTTTAGAATGAGGACAGTGGAGAGTCAGTGCAAAGTCTGAAGGGGAATAATACATCTCAGCAATTGCATTTTAGAAATGCAGTTCTCTGACTGTAGCATAGAAAATGATGTGACAAGAAGCATAGTTGGAAACAGGATGATCAGTAAGGGGCTGCTGGAGTGACCCAGGCAAGAGATTCTGGGGGCCCCATAGTGGGGCTGGAGCAGAGTGGACAAATTCAAGAGCTATCCAGGAGGCAGAATGAACAAACCTGGTGTGAATTGGATGTGGAGAGTGAGGGAGAGGAAAGAGCAAGGGATGACTCCTGGATTTCTGACTGGAGTGATTTGAGTTGATTGAGCCTGGAGACACCATATCTAAGACAACCAATATCTCTCTCTTTTTTTTTTTTTTTTTTTTTTTTTTTTTTGAGATGGAGTCTCGCTCTGTCACCCAGGCTGGAGTGCAGTGGCGCGATCTCGGCTCACTGCAAGCTCTGCCTCCCAGGTTCACGCCATTCTCCTGCCTCAGTCTCCTGAGTAGCTGGGACTACAGGTGCACGCCACCACGTCCAGCTAATTTTCTTTCTATTTTTAATGGAGACGGGGTTTCACCGTGTTAGCCAGGATGGTCTCGATCTCCTGACCTCGTGATCCACCTGCCTCAGTCTCCCAAAGTGCTGGGATTACAGGCATGAGCCACAGCGCCTGGCTAAGACAACCAATACATCTTTACTGAATAAAAAAAATTAGGGCTAGGCTACAAATAAGGTACAAGGGCACAATCTGTGGGAGGAGAATAGGGTTAACTATACTTCTTTTAAAGAACTATTTTGGCCAGGCGCAGTGGCTCACGCCTGTAATCCTAGCACTTTGGGAGGCCAAGGCGGGTGGATCACCTGAAGTCAGGAGTTTGAGACCAGCCTGGCCAACATGGTGAAACTCCATCTCTACTAAAAAATACAAAAATTAGCTGGGTGTGGTGGCATGAGCCTGTAATCCCAGCTACTCAGGAGGCTGAGGCTAGAGAATCACTTGAACCCAGGAGTCAGAGTTGCAGTAAGCTGAGATCGCGCCACTCCAGTCTGGGCAACAGAGGAAGACTCTATTAAAAAAAGAAAAAAAAAAAAGAACTCTCTCAGTGACTTCAAGCCTCAGTCAACTCAAGTGCAGTTAGGGAATGAGTCTTACCCCTCCAGCCTGCTATCCATGAGACCTTGAGCTTTGGAGACACTCCTCTGGGTGAAGGATTACTCCTCTGTGGCCCCACCCAGGCCCTCTACAATCTCCCCACCCCAGCTCTCCTTATTCCCTGTCATGGCTCCCCATCTGGACATTTAATGCACTGTGGAGAGTGATGGTTACCAGTGTTAGATCCTGCAGGCTGGCAAGCCATGCTCCATGGAAATGCTTCTGCAAATCCTTCAGAATAGTCTCTGTCTTCTGTTTCACACCTTCAATCCAAAAACAACAATTAAGGGGCAGGGCCTTAACAGGGAAATAGGAACACACCCTTCTTTATTTCCCCTCCAAACCTCAGAGAAGATCAACAGAGTGAAATGGGTGAAATAACATTTGCTCAACAGAGTGGGAAGAGTTCCCCAGCACCAGGGCAATGGGTGGAGGGAGAATGCGGCTGCGGACTCAGTCTGGTCCTTGCAGCTCTTCCTGCGCTGTGCCAGAATGTGGACTGTTCTACCCGTGGGTGCTGAGCAAATGCCCTCGTAAGAAGTATGCCCTGTTGAACCATGAGAAGTAAGTTTCTGAAGCTCCTTTTAGGGATATTTGCAAATCCTCCTGGCACCTCTGTAAGTGTATATGACTGTTTGTATTTTTTTTGTTTTCCTCGAGCAAAGAGGGGCTCAATCTGGGACTCCCAAATTTGTTCCCTGAGAAAAGATGTTCATTTTCCCAGTCTTAGGCCTAGCAGTAAGACTGAGACCACTGGGAAATATTGAGTATCCAAGTTGATTCCATAGGTGGCTGCAAGCCTAGCTCCCCTTTTCCCTGAGAATCTCTTAGAATCTCTTACAAGAGGGCATTGCATCAGCAATGGGGTTGGAGCTCATCCAGATAAAATTTCCAGATCTACTTGTAACGAGGATCCCTCATCTTGGGGCATCATAGCATATTTACTCTGCCCTCGTGAGAAGGAGCTGCCCTTCATCGTGCGCCTGACACAAAGTGGGCATTCAATGAGCAGTGCTTATGTGCTCCTGTTATTCATGGGCTCTCATGGCTGCAGCCCAGTGGCTACCCAGGCTCATGTTGCTTACTTCTCTGAAGCACAAGGATTTTGAACAGGTAATGCAATGCCTCCGATGCCTCTTTGCTGATCTCGTGGTTGCAGTCCATGCAGAAGAGGCCGAAGATGCTCATCAGTTTCCCACTCATTGAGAATTCCTCCATGTGCTGCTCCAAAGAGGAAACTGGTTAACTCCCCATCACCCGAAAAGGAGCTTCCCCATACTGCGGCCACCATCCTTCTCCAACCTCCCCACCCCTCCACACCACTGAATCATTTGCCTGCATGTATCCCCTCACCACACCAGCTCCACACTCTTTCCTTGGCCAAGAAAAACCTTTCAAAGCAGCACCCAGGGAAATAGGGCAGCCAGATCCCCGAAACATGTTAGCCAGTGGGAAGTTGTGGACCCAACTCAGCTGTTTAGGCCAAGGTCCCCCAGCAAGGCTGAGATGTGTCCAGCCAGTTGGAACTCACTTGGCCAAGGGCAGACCAAGCAAACAAGTCAAACCTCTTACCCCATAGGAACAGAAAAGTCACTAATGCAAAAAAAGAGGGACACTCTGACCACCCACCTCCCAGTAACCCCCTGCAGAGCCATAGGCTCTCAGGTACCCCATGTGCAGAGAAGCAGGGCCTGCTAAGTCAGCCTTTCCCCGACTCCAAGCACTCACTGACAGTTCCGGGAAATTGCAAATAAACCTCAGCAGCCGGGAAATAGTGCCCAAGGCCCGCATCTGTTCGTGCACTTTGTCTGACAGTGATGACCAAGGTAAGATGATCTAGAAAAGGAGTAAAGAGACCTTGTGAACACCTTCTGTGGGAGTGCTGCTCCCTTCCTTCTCTTGATTCCACATCCCTGACTGCTAAAAAGACAAAAAGGAGGGACTTGTGGCAGGCCCCCATGAACTTGTCAAAGCAAAGATGTGTTTAAGAGTCACTGGGGCTATACAAAAAATTAGCTGGGCATGGTGGTGGGCGCCTGTGGTCCCAGCTACTCAGGAGACTGAGGCAGCAGAATGGCTCGAACCCAGGAGGCGGAGGTTGCAATAAGCTAAGATCACACCTTTGCACTCCAGCCTGGGTGACAGAGCAAGACTCTGTCTCAAAAAAAAAAAAAAAAAAAAAAAAATGTCTCTGGGGTTTCACCTGCTACCTTCTGGGTCTCTTCTGAGAGGAATGTTTAAAGACAGCGCTGTGCCTTAGATGTAGAATTACAAAGCAGTGGGTAAGCAGGAATGGGATAAGGTGGGGAGATGGGGCTCTCTTGGTGGCATATCCATGCAAACCCCTACCTGCTAGGCCAGCGGAAGGGGTAAAGTGGTCTCTGAAGGATGAGATTCAGAGCCATTAATTTCTGGAGGCTAATAATAATAGTGACACAGGTAAGTATTCTGAATAGAATAACCCACTCTATCCTCCCAGCAACCCTATAAGTGTTATTATTACTACACTAGGTTGAGATCCCACCAGGGAAAAGAGGCCTGTGTCCTGCTTGCTACAAACTTTTGGGAAAGTGTGTCCTGTATCACAGCTGCTGGACAGGTGTCCTTCAGGGTAGCCTTTCTCCCAGAGCACTGAACCCCATCATGGACAGCCATGTGCCAAAAAAAGAAAAATGAACTACAATGTATACCTGACCGTCCAATACAAAAGTTAATTCAGAATTGACCACAGACTTAAAATCTAGAATGATAAGATTCTAGAAGAAAATGAGAAAATATGTAAGGAAGGCAAAAATTCCTAAATAATATAAACAAAATATAACCATAAAAAATAATAATAATTTGGAATTCATCAAAATGAAAAACTACCTGCTCTTCAAAAGATACTGTTAAGAGTGGCCGGGGATGGGCGTCGTGGCTCACACCTATAATTCCAGCACTTCGGGTGGCTGAGGTAAGTGGGTCACCTGAGGGCAGGAGTTCAACACGATGTGGGCATTCAATGAATGCCCGGCCAATATGGTGAAATTCTGTCTCTGCTAAAAATATAAAAATTAGCCAGGCATGGTGGCACACACCTGTAATCCCTGTTATTTGGGAGGCTGAGGCAGGAGAATTGCTTGAACCGGGGAGGCAGAAGTTTAGTGAGCTGAGATCGTGCCACTGCACTCCAGCCTGGGTGACAGAGTGAGCCTCTGTCTCAAAAAAAAAAAAAAAAAAAAAAAAAAAGACACTGTATAAAGTCAGGCCACAAAATGGGAGAAAATGTCTGCAAATCACATATCTGGCAAAAGATTTATATCCAGAATATACAAAGAGCTCTCAAGGCTGGGCGTGGTGGTTCATACACTTGTAATCCCAGCCCTTTGGGAGGCCAAGGCAGAAGGACTGCTTGCACCCAGGAGCTCGAGACCAGTATGGGCAACACAGGGAGACCGTAGCTCTACATAAGGTTTTTTTTTTTTTTTTTTTTTTTTTTTTGAGACAGAGTCTCACTCTGTCACCCAGGCTGGAGTACAGTGGCATGATCTTGGCTTATTGCAAACTTCTCCCCCCAGGTTCAAGAGATTCTCCTGCCTCAGTCACCTCAGTAGCTGGGATTACAGGCATATGCCACCACACCTGGCTAATTTTTGTATTTTTAGTAGAGATGGGGTTCTGCCACGTTGTCCAGGCTGGTCTCGAACTTCTGACCTCAAGTGATCTGCCCACCTCAGCCTCTCAAAGTACTGGGACTGCAGGTGTGAGCCACTGTGCCTGCCCACAACATTCAAAAATTAGTGGAGCATGGTGGCGCACACCTATGGTCCTAGCTACTCAGGAGGCTGAAGTGGGAAGGTTCTCGGGGAGGTTCGAGGCTGCAGCGAGTAGTGATGGTGTCAATGCTCTCCAGCCTGGGCAATAGAGTGAGACGCTATCTCGAATAAAAGAAAATAAAATAAAGAAACTTCAAACCTCCAAATAAGAAAACAACCCAATAAAAAAATGGGCAAAAGACTTAAAACAGACGCTTCTTCAAAGCAGATATGTAGATGGCAAACAAGTCTATGAAAAGGTGCTCAACATTAGTCACTAGGAAATGCAAGTTAAAACCACAAAGAGATGCCACTACACATCTATAAGAATGACTAAAAGGAAACACTAACAATACCACATGCTGGCAGGGATGCAGAGCAACTGGGACTCTTACACATGCTAGTGGGAATGGAAAATGGCCTCTTGGGAAAACACTTTGGAAGTATCCCCCCCTCCTTTTTTTTTTTGAGATGGAGTTTCACTCTCGTTGCCCAGGCTGGGAGTGCGATGGTGTGATCTCGGCTCACAGCAACTTCCACCTCCTAGGTTCCAGCGATTCTCCTGCCTCAGCCTCCTAAATAACTGGGATTACAGGCATGTGCCACCACGCCCGGCTAATTTTGTATTTTTAGTAGAGATGGGGTTTCTCCATGTTGGTCAGGCTGGTCTCAAACTCCCGACCTCAGGTGATCCGCCCTCCTCTGCCTCCCAAAGTGCTGGGATTACAGGCGGGAGCCACTGCGCTCAGCTGGGAAGTATTTTATAAAGTCAAACATCCACATGCCATACAACACAGCAGTCCCACTCCAAGAGATTTACCCAATTGAAATTAAAACCTATGTTCATACAAAAGCCTGCACACAAAGATTTATAGCAGCTTTATTTGTGATCATCCCAATCCAGAAACAACCCCAAAGTTCCTCAACTGGAAAATTAATGCACAAACTGTGATCTATCTACTAAATTAAAAAATAAAAAGAAATGAAGTACTGATACACATAACAACACGAATAAACCTCAAATGCATTATGCTAAATGAAAGAAGACAGACTCCAGAGACTGTCTACTGGATAATGCTACCTAGATGTCTTTTTTTTTTTTTTTTGAGACAAAGTCTCCCTCTATTACCCAGGCTAGAGTGCAGTGGCATTGTCACAGCTCACTGCAGCCTCGACCTCCTAGGCTCAGGTGATCCTCCCACCTTAGCCTCCCAAGTAGCTGGAACCACAGGTACACAACACCATGCCCGGATAATTTTTTTATTATTTGTAGAGATGGGGGGTCTCACTGTTGCCCAGGCTGGTCTTGATCTCCTGGGCTCAAGTGACCTTCCCAAAGTGCTGGAATTACAGGCATGAGCCACTATACTCAGCCTTAGGTAACATTTTAATTATTTTATTTATTTTTGAGACAGGGTCTCGCTTTGTTCCCCAGGCTGGAGTACTCGGCCTTAGACAACATTTTAATTATCTTATTTAATTAATTATTTATTTATTTTTGAGACAGGGTCTAGTTTTGTTGCCCAGGCTGGAGTGTGGTATTACAATCACAGCTCACTGCAGTCTCAACCTCTAGGCTTCAGGCGATCCCCTCACCTCAGCCTCCCAAGTAGCTGAGACAACAGGCACACACCACATGCCCAGATAATATTTTTTGTAATTTCTAGTAGAGATGGGATCTCATATGTTGCCTAGGCTGGTCTCAAACTCCTCGGCTTAGGTGATCCCCCTATCTTGCCCTCCCGAAGTGCTGGGACTACAGCACCTAGATGACATTGCACCTAGAGGACATTTTAGAAAAGGCAAAACTATAGGGACAGGAAACAAATCAGCCACTGCCAGGGATGGGGAATGGGGAAGGGGTTGACCATAGAGTCATGGGGGAATTGGGGGGTGATAGAACTGCTCTATAGCTTGATAGTGGCTGTAGTTACAGGACTGCATGCATTTGTCAAAACCCACAGATCTATACACTAAAAGCTGAATTATACTATATGTAAATTATACCTTAATTTAAAAACAGAAAAAAAGAAGACAAAAGAAAAAGGAGGGCCCTTAAGAAAACCATATAGCCCTTAAATTCAACCTTTCTGATCCAGCTCTGCAAAGCCAAATGTGAAATAAATGATGTCGTATTATGCCATCATGTCCTTTTGTAGGAAAAATATGTCTAAAATATACACACTTGACTGAGAATTACCTCAAAGTAGCAAAAATAAATTTTGTTACACATAAAAATAACTTATTTTTATACTTTTAATTTTATGTATCAAGGTAAATTGATTTCTCCACTATTTTATACAAAATGTTGGAACCTGTTTCAGGTGGTGCTTTTGCAGGGCTCCATTTATCTTTGGATAATGAGAACCCCAGTAATGCATCTCTTGAAGACTCTACGCTGACCAGGACCAAAGTTTTGCATCTCTGTTTCCCACAGACTCCAAGAACAACAGAACATTTGTTCTTACATTTATAGCAAGGTTGCCTAAAAAGCACAAAAATCCTTCTCAACAAACATACCAGAGACGGTACATTCCAAAAGAACTATGTCACTCATCCAAATGT